TCCTGCCAGCGGGAAGGCCGGCCTCCCTACGCTTGCCCCACTCTGGGCCTCCCCCCTGCCTCCCTCCTGCCTGCTGCCACCGCCACGTTAGTTATTCCGGGTTTGGGGCCAAATCTCTCTTGGCTGCAGTGCCCAGGATTCCCCGGGGCCACACAGTGCAGCTGCCAGGGCCCCTCCCTCATTCATTCATTCTTTCCTTCATTCCTTCACCCGGGTCCTTCTCAGGGAGGCATTCTTTTTTAAAAATATATATATATTTTTATTGATTTCAGAGAGGAAGGGCGAGGGAGAGAGAGAGATAGAAACATCAATGATGAGAGAGAATCATTGATCAGCTGCTGCCTGCATGCCCCCCACTGGGGATCGAGCCTGCAACCTGGGCATGTGCCCTGACAGAATCAAACCCAGGACCCTTCAGTCCACAGGCCGATACTCTATCCACTGAGTCGAACCAGCTGGGCAGGGAGGCACTCTTTTTACTGCCATTTCTCCAGCAGGGAGGCTGAGGCTGGGAGAGGGCACCCAATGGTTGTTTGATTTAATAGATGGTCACTAAGCATTTCTCATGGGGGTGGGGAGAGGCAGAGGCAGTGAGATCTAGGCCTGGTACGGGCTCTGCCAGGGGCAGGCTTCCCCAGCACCTCTGGGCTGGGAAAGGGGCCAAGACCAGAGAGGGTCAGGGCCTGCCCAGGGCAGCACAGCATGGCTGGTGAGGCTGGGGGTTGGGGCACACCTGGTTGGCTGGCCACACCTGGGCAGGTGGGCACTCCCGGTGTGCCCTCCACTCAGGGCCTGATGGCCTCTGATTAGATCCTGTGAAAGGCACACCCTCACGCCATGTCTCTGTCTCCGAGCCTGTATCTCTCACCCCTCCCTTCTCTGCGGTGGAGGTGCCTCAGCATCAGGGCCCAGCGCCTTGTAAATCTGCTGGGATTCTGGCCTAGTCAGCATTCTCTCTCTCCCTCTCCCTCTTCCTCTCCCTCCCTCTCTCCCTCCCTGCCTCCCTCCTTCTGTCTCTCTCCGTCTCCCTCTCCCTCTGTCTCTCTTCTCTCTTCCTGCCTCAGCCTCCCTCCCTCCCTCGCTCATGACAAATGGAGCCTCCTGCTCCATGCAGCTCCTGCCCGTGTCCACGTCCCGGGGTGCATGTTGGCCTGTGGTCAGCAGTTCAGGGGCGCCCCCACATTCCCATGCACACTCACCGACACCACTCCTATGAGGACAGAGCCCCACCCCACTTCAGATGTGCTCTAAGGTAGGGGTGGTCTCAGATCTTCATGCAAATCTTGCTCAGGAGGCTCCCAATGGAGTTTTCTTTCCAGCTGTGTGATGGGCGGATAACCTAGACCCCCCTGTCTTCCCGGTGCAGTGAAGTGCCTGGTAACCTTCACTCCTCAGGCTGCCCGAGGATTCAGGGAAGCAGGACACGGCTGAGGTCCTGGCACAGGGCCTGGCACACAGTCAGTCCTCATACATGTGTTGTGTGAGTGGACGGGGGGTTCTGCCAGTTGACAGAAGGCACTTGAGTCTCTCTGAGTCTCAGCCTCTCTCCCTCTGTCCCCACATGGGGAACATCATCATGCCTCCCCTCGATCGATTCTTTAACCATCACACAGTGCCTGGTGTGCAGTAGGCGCCAAATAACTTGGCTAGCAGTGACCCCACAAAAACGAGAGCTTTGGCCCATGAGGGTTTTCCTGTTGAACTTTCCTCCCAGCCCAGCCTTGTCCAGGCTCTTCCCAAGTTTGGCCAGACCAAGTGGGTACCTGCGGCCTTTGCTAGTTGGGGTGTGTGAATGGGGCCAACAGGCAGAGGACGAGATTGTGAGATTGTGGATTCTATTCTAGGGGGGGGGCAGGAAACAAGGTGACAGGCGGCCTCTTTGGCTGGGTGGGCCCCCCAAGGAGGTGGCCACGGATGGAGCAGGGGAAGGGAGTCGCACAGAATCCAGAGAGCGCATACGGAGTGCAGAGTGAACATCGCTGGGGAGCCCCACCGACGGGTCAGACCACGTCCCCAGGGGCCCGGCAGTGGGGTTGAGGAGGCCGGAGGTCCACAGTCACAGGGACTCTGGTGGAGGCCCCAGCTCTGCTCCTTCCTGGCTGTGTGACTTTGGGCCTCTGGCTTCAGTGCTCTGTGCCTCAGTCTCTCCCTCCAGACAGTGGGCACAGTCACTGCTCAGCCTCCACGAGGCACAGCCTGGCTCCCTGTCTCTCTCTCGAACACCATGGTCCTCCGGCTCAGCCCCATCCTCTTCCTGGGACAGCAGAGAGGGAAGTCAGAGAGCCAGGGCTCACACTCACCTGTCGGTCGGGCAGGGGGTTTCACTCTCCTTGGCCTGGCCCGTAAGGTCCTGCACAACCCGCCTGGGGCCCCTCCCTGCCCTCAGCGCCTCTCCTCTCCCTCTTGTTCGCTGGGCCATAGTTTCACTGCCTCCTCACTGTTTCCATCGAACGTGCTGATGATGGCACGGTCCTGCCTCCGGACCGTTGCCTGCGCTGGTGCTGTTTTCTCCTCCTGGGAAGCTCCTGCTCAGGGCTGTCACCGTTCAGGTCTTCCTTCAAGTGTCCTGTCCTGTGAGAGACCCTTCCTGACCGCCCCCCCCCAAGCTAAACACAGCCCCCAAGGGGTCCCCTGGCCCTTCAAACTCCTTCACATTTCCTCAAACCACTTAGTTCAACCGGACGTTTTATCGCATACTTGTTGGCGTGTTTAAGGTCCATCCTGCCACGGATCAGGATCTGCATGAAGGCCGAGCCGCGGTTACTGCTGGGTCCCCAGCACCATGCACACAGTAGGCACTCGGAATGTTTGTTGAGCAACTGAATGACTCTCTCCCTCATTAGATAAGAGCTAGACATATGCTCTGAGCTCGGGGGAGGAGTGACCTAGGTTAGGAGCCCCAACTCTGGTGCCAGATGGGTCTGCGTTCATAGATGAGCTCTGCTGTTTGCCATTTCACCTGGGCTTTCCCTCGAGAAGGGGGCATTGGCGTCAGGGCTTTCAGGGATGCATAGGAGTTTGGGTTAAGCGCTTAGGTGGTGGGTCAGATAGATTCTCAGCAGTGTTTGTTGAGTTGCTGAGTGAATGAAGGAGAGAGAATCCTTCCAGGAACGCTTTTGGAGTGGGAATTGGAGTTCCATGTGCTGTTTGTTGCCCTGGGCTGTCAGGGTGGGAGGGATCTGGGGGGCCCAGGGAGGGGCACAGCCCAGTGCACAGTTGTCCAATCCATAGGGCCCAGCAAGGGCTTGGACCCGGTGCCCACCTCCAACCCGCTGCTGCCCTCATTGGAAGGGCCAGTGGGCCACGTGGGGTTTCTGGGCAAGGCCTCGTCTTGCTCCATCTCCCCCCACTCTCTGGTTACCAGGGCAATAGACAAGCACCCCATCCCCAACCCCCAACAGGCCGCAGTATCCCATTCTGCCCGTTGTACAAAATGAGAGCCTGAAGCCCAAGGCCGAAGGTGAAAATGGAGGCTAATGTCACCCGCAGGGGCTGCCTGGCGGTGAGTGCCTCAGCCCCAGGACTTAGGGTTGGAGGAGGAGCAAGAGCTGGACTCAGACTCCACAGCTTGTGTGGTCCAGGCGAGGTCTGAGGGAGCCCTGAGGAGAGCTGCCGGAAGGAAGGAACCCTGAAAATAGGGCTTTGAGGGATATGTAGGAGTGTGGGAGGATTCTCAGCGTCTAGCTGGCCTTGGCGGCCCCCTGTGCCCTGTCAGCCAGTGAGGGCATCGGGAGGTGCCTGCGGAAGAAGCCTCGGCTGTTGCAGGTCTTGTGGGACAAAGGGAGTGACAGGCCTGCCTCTCATCTAGTCTGACCTCCCTGGGAGGACAGGGAGGCCGGGGCAGCAGGTCCGTGACCCAGTTACGGACTGTTTGTCTTCCTTCCTGCAGGACCAGCTAGGGTCACTGGTGACGTGGGCTCCCACCCCTGCTCTCCTCCCTGGCACCTTTCCCCGGAGAGGGTGTAGAGATCAGAGAGGGGGGAGGGGGAGGGAAGGGCTCAGAGAGGGAAGGAGCTGGAAAAAGGGTGGGGGCTCCGAGAAGGGGAGCCAAGACCTGGAACAGGAATTGAGGGAGAGGGGTTCAGAAGTGGGGAGGTGCCCAGAGAGAATGGTGGTCAGGAGAGGCGTCTGGGGACCGTAGCCTGCCCCTGCTGGCTGACACCCAGCGGCCTCTTCCCGGCTCCCTCTTATCAGGGCCACAGTCATCACCAGAACTTGGGTGGCAGCCACAGCCCAACGTCCACACCGTTGCCCTGGCATCCCCTCCGGGGGACAGTGACCTGAGCCTCTATCGATTCCCCATCCCCGGCTCCCCAGCCAGACGGCCTGGGCTCTGGCCCCTGCTCTGCTGACCGGCTGTGTGACCCTGGGCAAGTGGCTCCCCATCTCTGGGTCTGGCATGGCAAGTGGCATCCAGGCACAAGACAGGCAACCCGGGTTGGGTCAGACTGGCAGGGGATGGGCCGCTCCGTCCTCCCTCTGCCTCAGCAGGTCCGCCGGTGGGGGCAGCACGGAGGGCCCAAGTGCAGTCCCGGCCACAATTGTTTCAGTGACTCATGCTTCAGGGCACATGGGAGTGGGGAACTGGGCGCCCAGGCTGAGCCCCCTCACAGGCCACCCTGGCCAGGCAGGAGGCTATTTTCAGAGCCTCGGTCATAGGTGAAACCTGAGGTCATCCCCTTCCCCCAGCACCCCGTGGCCGGAGACGGCTCAAAGGGAGATGAAGCCCGGAGCGGGGAGGGTGAGCCGGTCAGGGGGTACCACGAGCATCCAGGTCTGGAGGGGGCACCGAGCCCAGCCACACCCACCTGGAACGCAAACCAGGAGCCCAGAGCAGCTGTTTCTGTCTCCGAGACCCAGCCTGGCAGAGAGCAGGCTGTTTGAGAAAGGGGCCTGGTGGCCTTCTCGGGGTGAGGGGCCTGGGTTCTCACACAGGCTCTGAGAGTGGGACCCAGGCCAGGTCTCCGCCCCGCTCTGAGCCTCCGTTTCCCCATCACGCTATGGACAGCAAAGCCTCGGGCCTTTTCCTGCCCCTTGGAAGACTGTAAGCAACCAAAGTATTGTAGCAATGTCCATAATAATAGCAATAGCTAACGCAGCCTTTGAGAGCTGGGCAGATAATGGGGTTCATAAGCCAGGAAGAGATCTCACCCCATTCAAGAAGCCTGGCATGGTCCTGGCAAGAGTAGGACCGATGTTTCTCTTCTGTCTTCCTTTCTCCTTGAGTGTCTCACTCCTGGAGACAGACACCAGGTCCCGGATGTTCTGCAGGCTGTTTCTCTTGCTAGAAAATGGAGAGAAGGATGCCGTCTTCATATCCCCTTAGAAGGGGCTGCGGCTTCCCATGTGGCTCTCTGAGGGGCCCTACTGGGGTTGCTGCTTTGGTGGAGAAAGTCAGATGGGTGTGGGGGTCTGGTCCCAGCCCCTCATGACTGGGTCCCCGCTTGGAGTCTCTGTTTCCTCGTTGTGGGCCCAGCAACACTAATTAGGCACAATGGGAGGGAGGTGTTGAAGTCATGGCTCTGGCCCGGTCTCAGCCTCCCCAGACTCAGTTTTTCCATCTGTGGAATGGGTCTGTGGGGAGGGGGAGGTGAGCTGACCCCCAGGGCCCCTCTCTCTAGCTCTGAACCTCCATGGCTGAGCTCCCCTGTCCAGTGTATTCTGACCTGTGTCTCCGGCCTCAGCGTTCCTGGCCCCTTCAATGGGTCTGTGCAGGAGCCCCCACCAGCAGCCCCTGACATCCAGGGGTCCTAGTCGGGCCTGTGGGCCTCAGCCAGCCCTGTCTGTACATGTGTTCTTCAGAAACAGCCCCTTGCCCTCATTTTCCCACCAGTGCCAAGGGCCAGTAGAGGCCGCCTGGACCCCCACCTGGTGTCAGCTTCCTCTGCTGAGCAGTGGGTCTGAGGAAGGAGCCCCAAGCGTTATTCTCCAAGCCTGGTTTTTCCTGCAGTCATTGAGGACCCACTGTGTGCTCGGCCCTGCTCTCAACAGTAGAGCTCACACTGCAGCCCGGGACCCGATGCCAGCCACCAGTTTTTGTCAATAAAGTTTTATTGGAATACCGCTCTGCCGTCATTTACATCTTACCTAGGTGGCACTTACAGTGTAGAGTGGAATAGTGGCAACTAAAATATTCACTATCTGTTCTTATGGTACTTTCAAGTCCCAGTTCTAGAAGGCAGAGAATGGATCCATGACATCCTCACTCTCCCGACCTCAGTTTTCCCATCCGTACAATGGGTCCCCATCAGTCTCCACCTGGAACCCTCAGCTTGTCCTGTTTTGGGTTTAAGACAGTTTTTCATGAATGTCTTTCTTTTTTAAAATATATTTTTATTGATCTCAGAGAGGAAGGGAGAGGGAGAGAGAGATGCAAACATCAGTGATGAGAGAGAATCATTGATCGGCTGCCTCCTGTACACCCCACACTGGGGATTGAGCCCGCAACCCAGGCATGTGCCTTGACAGGAATCCAACCATGACCTCCTGGTTCATAGGTTGATGCTCAACCACTGAGCCATGCTGGCCGGGCCATGAATACCTTTCTTGGCCGGGGCTTCCCATCTAATCCAAGCCTCAGTTTCCCCATGTGGGCACTGAGTTCTCACCTGTCCCCCAGGAACTTCTGCTGGGCCCCTCAGCTTTCCCCAGGAGGTGGAGTGGTCTGCAGTGGTCCCCTGCCCCTCCCCCTCTGCCTACTGAGTTTGCTTGGGGGTTCCTGAGCCTGAGTCTTCTGGTCCAGGCAGTGGGTCTCAGGTGCCCAGCGCCTCCTGACCTCCTGCCTTTCCCGCCCGCAGGATGAGTTCCACCCGTTCATCGAGGCGCTGCTGCCTCACGTGCGCGCCTTCGCCTACACCTGGTTCAACCTGCAGGCGCGGAAGCGCAAGTACTTCAAGAAGCACGAGAAGCGGATGTCCAAGGACGAGGAGCGCGCGGTGAAGGACGAGCTGCTGGGCGAGAAGGCCGAGGTGAAGCAGAAGTGGGCGTCGCGGCTGCTGGCCAAGCTGCGCAAGGACATCCGGCCCGAGTGCCGCGAGGACTTCGTGCTGGCCATCACCGGCAAGAAGGCGCCGGGCTGCGTGCTCTCCAACCCCGACCAGAAGGGCAAGATGCGCCGCATCGACTGCCTGCGCCAGGCCGACAAGGTGTGGCGGCTGGACCTGGTCATGGTCATCCTCTTCAAGGGCATCCCCCTGGAGAGCACCGACGGCGAGCGCCTGGTCAAGGCGGCGCAGTGCGGCCACCCGGTGCTCTGCGTGCAGCCGCACCACATCGGAGTGGCCGTCAAGGAGCTCGACCTCTACCTGGCCTACTTCGTGCGCGAGAGAGGTGAGCTGAGAGGAGGTGGGGTGCACCGCTGTGCCAGGGAGAAGGTGGGCTCATGCCAGGCCAAAGGGAGGAGGCAGCAGATGTGAGGTCTGATGTGGGAGGGGGGTCCAGGCACAGTCCGAGGGAGGAGGCAGCCTCCGCACTGTTGAATCGGGGAGTTGGCCTTCGCAAGGTCAGCGGGAGAAGGCTGCCATGCGCTGTGAGGGTGAGGTGGGCGCAATGGAGTCTAAGGGGAGAAGTGGGCCTACAAGGGGGTTCAAGGGGACAGGCTCACTCGATGTGAAGGTCTGAGGGAGGGAGATCTGATTCAAGGAGAGTGTGATGGGAAAGCAGGTACGTCCTGAGAACCTGAAGGTGGAGGCCTTGATGTCTGAGGGAGCTGGCGTGCCCTTGGCGTCTCAGGAGATGAGACTCTGTCCCAGGTCTGATGGGCACAATATGGCCTTTGGGGACAGGAATGAGGACAGGAGAGTGACTGATGGGAGACAGGTGGTTGATGAACAATCTGATTGTTGGGGGAAGCTGGGAGAGTGCTGGGGCTGCGCGCTGCGAACACTGGTTGATTGACTCTCAGACCTCCAGCGGAGGCCCAACAGGGCACACGTTTGTGCTGTGAGTGGGAAGCTTGGGTGCTGTGTGACTTTGGCCAGGTCACCACCCTCTCTGGTCCCCAGTGCCCCCGGCTCTGGCCCTTTCAGCTGGGTGTTTGCTGGTTCTGTGGTCAGATGCCTGAGGTTGAGACCAGCAGGGATTTTGAGGGTGAAGACAGTCCGTGGCAGCTTCCTGGAAGAGGAGGTGTGGCTGAGCTAAGTTCTGCAGGATGGCTGGGCAGTGGCGGCCGTGAAGGTGTCACCGTGGCCGGCAGCCTAGGCAGAGATGTGGAGGCCAGATATTGGTCCAGCCTCTTGAGGTCACAGGTGCCGGTGGCCAAAGCCAGGGCCGCTGCTTCCTGTCTGTGTGTCTGTGTTCCACATGCAGCCCCGGCGTGACTTTGGCTGTCTCACAGTTCTGTGCCTCAGTCTCCCCGCTCTGTACAATGGGAGAAGGGCCATGCCGACTCCTAGCAATGGTATCAGGATCAGATGAGTCTGTGGAGCTCCGGGTCTCCAGGGTGTGTAGGAGGGAGAGCCAGACAGAATTTCCCAGTTTTGACCTTGATTCCTTGACCTTGACCCCATCGGCCCCTTGCCCTACCCGCACCAATTAGTAGCAAGCCCATGGGGGCAGCAGTGAAGCAGGGTTGGCGGGGTGTGGAGGCAGAGAAGTGGAGGAGGTGACTGTCTCAGGCAGAGGGCAGGGGGCAGGGACTGCCTTGGCTCATTACCATGCAGGTCCAGGTCTCCCCCTCCACATTCATCCTCGCCACCCAGCCCCACCCCCACCTCCTCTGAGCTGAGCTGATAAAATTTTGAAGCAGAGTTTTCTGCCAGCGTCAGCACAATCTCCAGGCGCCTCCCCTCCCCCACCAGACCCCCTCCCCCCCTCAGTTCAGCAGGCGAGCTAGGCCTCCAGGCCTCCCCAGACACCTTCAAGCCCCACTTCTAGCCGTTGTCGGCCAGTCTGGTCAACCTCCTTGAATGAGGGCCAGGAAAGGTCAAGGCTACCAGCCTCCCCTGCTTCCAGCCGACTCCATTATCCCAGGGGAATCCCTGCTCACACTGGACCCAGCTGACCCGGCCCCAGCTGGCCTGCAGTGGGGGTGGTGTATGAGAACTGGGCCTGGATTCCGGCCCTAACTCAGCTGCCTGCTGCTGGGTGACCCAGGACAAGTCACTTGACTTCTCTGTGCCTCGTTTTCTTGTCTATAAAATGGGAAGCTCGAAAATAACTGCCTGTAGGAACAGGGTGCTCTCATAGTGGTTGAAGACAAGGCCCAGGCACAGAGCTAGGGCTCCACGGATGGTTATTGTACATCCTCATTACGATTGCGATTTCCCACCTCCAGGCCTTGGCCCATGCTGTTCCCTCTGCCTGGAATGCCTTTCCCATATGGAAAACTCCTACTTATGCTTCAAAACGCCAACTCCTAGCCCCACTTTCTCTGTTAGGCATTGTTTTCTGACAACTTAGCAATTCTTTTCCGTCTTTCCAGCAGCCCCACGAGTAGAAATCATTATGGTACCTATTTCACAGAAAAGGAAACAGAAGCTCAAAGACAGGACTGCCCAAGGTCACACAGCCAAGAAAGGGGAGAAGTGGGACTTGGATGTAGGCAGCTTCGGAGCTGACACCCCCTCCAGCCTGCCACCCTCAATGGCAGAAAGGGCTGAAGGGAAATTGTGATTTGCAATATGGGCAGCCAGTCATCACGGCTTGGCCACCCCCAGGCTGGTCTGTGTTCCAGGCTTCCAGCAGCCAAGGCCTCATCCAAGGTCCCGGGGCCGAGGCTGCCCCAGGACCCCCTGCTGAGCCTCGGCTCCCTGCCATTTTCCCCAGGACGCTTGTCCTTGTTCTCGGCCAGGCAGATGTCAGTCTAATGGCAGAGAGAACTGGTAGCACCTCCCTGCTCCCACCCTGTGGGTTCCCAGGCTGGAGGGGGCCCCAGCATAGGCCAGAGCACAGTGTGCGCCTTACTCCGCCTGACTGGAGGCGCGGGATTGATGAGGGGTAAGGATGGGCCTCCGTTGGCCTCTGGAGGGGCTCAGGGTGGATGATGAGGGGAGCACCCACTGTACAGCTGAAAGGAGGTGCCACCCCCAACATCAGGAGTGGGGCCTCAGAACCAACAGAAACACACACACACACACAGATGCAGACAGAAACACGGAAAGACAGATGGACCCAGAGACATGGAGAGACACAGAGACTCGGAGGCACCACACAGGCCTGCCCTCTCAGCCCTTCCCTGTCCTTGGACAAAGCCCGCCCGCGCCACCCCCCCCAACCTCTCCACCTCTCCCCAAGGGTGTCAGGTGGACTTGTGGGGCCACACCCCAAAGGGGAATCCCAGGCCTCCACCCTGGGGTTTATTTTGGGGGATGTAGGGGTGGAGACCAGCGATGAGAAGGTTCCTTCAGTACTGGGCTGTTAGAGCCTAGGGTACCTCTTGAACCCAAATTTGGCTGCCCCAGGCGTCCATCTGGCGCCACCATGGCCATGAGCCTGGTTCCAGGGAGGGCAGCGTGTGCCCCAGGGCCAGCCTAGGGGACAGCTGCAGGGCCTGTAATGAGGGGTGATGAGAGCTTCCCCTTGGGACATTGGGGGCTGCCTGCTACCTGAGTGCACTTTGGGTGGGAGGTGCCCTGAGCAGGGGATGCAGAAGCTGACAGTTCACAGTTCAATGAAAAAGAATGTGATGTCAGGGAAACAGCGGGGGAGGGGCCGGTGGGTGCACTCTGGACAGGAAGGAACTCTTAGAGGAGGTCACCTTTGAGATGAAGCCCGAAGGAGATGGAGGCATGGAGGGATTGAGTGAGAGTGCACCAGGCAGGGGCACAGCCAGTGCAAAGGCCCTGGGGCTGGAATGGCCCAGAGGGTGCAGGCATTGTTGGAGAGGGAGGTGATGAGGGTGCTGGGGAGGCCAGGAGCTGTGAGCCTGCCGCTCTTCAACCTGCCTTGCATTTGGGAAGGTGCCTGGAGGAAACAGGGCCCAGAGAGGGAAGCCGCCTGCCCAACCCTGAAGCCCAGCCAGGCCTCCCTGCCCCCTCTGGCGGCTTGAGAAACCTGAGGCTGGTGGGGCACAGTGCCAGGGGTGGGCAGGGGAGGGGCTGCAGGCCTGCCGGCTCCAGGCAGCTGCCAGCCCGCCCCAGCCACCAGCCCAGCTGGTGCCATTTGCTGACGCTGCCATGGGCCAGCCTCCTGCTCCCGCCTTGTGCGGTGCCAGCCTCCCTGAATGGCGCTGTGGGCAGGGGCCAGTTTGGGAAGCTCTCAGTGGAGAGGGACTGCCCAGGGTGCCCCAAGGAGGAGACAGGAAAAACTGGGGGGATCCCCAACTCCTCCTGGATGGAACTAGGAAGCAGTAATAACAACAAAGTTAATAGGAACTGTGAGCACATATTGAGTGCCACTGTGTGCCCAGTTCTGGGCCCATTCCACTCTCAACTGGTTTAATTCTCTCCCCATCCCTGGGAGCGAGGGAACTCCTCCCGATTCCCATGAGGAAACAGAGTCCAGAGATGGTCAGACACTTGCCCAAAGTCACACAGCTTGTAAGAGGCAGAGCAGAATTACAACCCATGGATTTTGAGTCCTCAAAACCCCTAAAAGAAAAAAACTAAAAAACACTTTTGAGATTATCAGGTGGGACCCACACCCTCCCAGTGGTACAGATGATAAAAAGGGCAGGCCCTGAGTACATAGTGAATAAAGGAGCCATATTATTAAGTACCTGCTGCCCTGGCTATTTTGGCCCAGTGGATAGAGTGTCGGCCTGCGGGCTGAAGGATCCCCGGTTTGATTCCAGTCAAGGGCACGTACCTTGGTTACAGGCCTCGATTGCCTGCTTGATCCCGGGCCCTGGTGTGGGCATGTGCGGAAGGCAACCGATTGATGTGTCTCTCTCATATTGATGCTTCTCTCTCTCTGTCTCTCTGTGTCTCTCTCTCCCTTCCACTCTCTCTAAAAATCCTTGGGTGAGCTCACAATTAACAACAACAAAAGTACCTGCTGTGCCCAAACCTGGGTGCCAAGGTCTCCATAAAGGGCATTGAGGGCTGGAGTGAGGGGACCTCGCTCAGCCACAGCTCTGCCCCCGGCTGGCTGTGTGATTAAGACAAAGCCCTGTCTCTCTGGTCTAGATGGACGGGAGCTGAGGGCAGGAGGGAAGGGCCTGTGGGCCACAGAGCGAAGCAAGCCAGCCCCTGATTGAGGTTCCCCTGTCTTCTGGTCCCTGTTATTTAAAAAAAAATTTCAGAGAGGCAGGGAGAGGGAAATAGAAACGTCAATGATGAGAGAGAATCATTGATTGGCTGCCTCCTGCATGCCCCCCACTGGGGATGGAGCCCACAACCTGGGCATGTGCCCTTGACCAGGAGTTGAATCGTGACCTCCTAGTTCATAGG